CCGCAGAACCAATCATAGGGAGCCGGAGCCTCCAGAACTCTGGACTGCGTGAGGTTTTGCTTGTCCCAGACCCAGGGTGTCATCCTGTCATAGGCACGCAGAACTAGTTCTGAATCGCTGCCCGGGACCCGAGCGTCTTCGCAGGACCGCGCTCCCCCGCAGAACCAAGCACAGGTTCGCCGAACCAGGCTCCCAGAAGCATTGTTCAAGTATATTGGAATCGTGAACGCAAAATAACAGTGTTGTGAAATCGCCGAAGAAGCAACAGCAGTCAGGTGCTCGGTTGGTTTTCCTTCCGTCAGCTTCTGGCCACGACTGACTCCACAGGCTGGTGCAAGGTTCTCTTGAAGTTTCGTTTCTCACAGCATGCAATGTCAGATTTCAGATGAAGCCCGTCAGTGAGGGGACTTGGGATTGATCGAATGACATATGGAGTGATTCATTCGTTCTGCTGTGAGAGAAACGCAGACAGGCAGCTGGAGCATGGTTTCAGTGCAATCAGTCTTGATGCTTCATGAGTAAGAAAGAAACCCCCTGAATTAAGGCACAGACGAGATCCACGATTGTGTCGAGCATCAAGCTAAGCGCAATGAATGAGTTGTCGCTCAAGCTTTGGCTTTTGTTTGATAGTCGCGAGTCGGTCGCCCTTTGCCTGTGAGTCCGTTCGCCATGCCGCCCAAGGGTAGGAAAGCGCCAAGGGCAGATGTCGACAAGATGCGCGACCAACTCTCTGTCTACAGCGAGGAGAACGTCATGAAGAAGGTCGAGGAGCGCGTCGACAGCAATCCGGAATTAATTTCGAAGGCGATCGAAGTGGTTCAGATGCTGGAGTCGGCTCCCACCGAAGTCGACCCCGAGTCGGTAAGCCAGTCACTGGGCCGGACGGAGTCGTGCTGTTAGGAGACAGGGACAGTTTTTGCTCGTAGGCAGGACGGACTTTCTATTTGCCGGGCATACTGTGTTAGTTAGTTATCTACCCATGCATGCATACCTCCTGCTGCTGAGACCACAGCTCCGTCGACTCGGAGTGTGAGCACAGGGCATGACCGGGGTAAGTAGATCTAGGTCCTGGAGTGCTGCCTGCCACACATAATAATAATCAACTCAGTGAATGAAACAAACAAGCAGAATAGGTCCGCGTGATGTTGCTAGAGTGAAGCAGAGTGGTCAAGCCGTGAAACAGATCAGGTCCTGCAACAAGTACGGCAAGCTGGACGTGATCTACCAGAAGGAGCTGCTGTCAAGCCTGTACCCAACGTGGAGGGACTGGATCACATCGGTACGTGCAACAAAGAAAGACTTCAACAGCCTCTTCAAACTCCTCGCGGGCATAGCTCCCGAATGTGCACTCCCCTCCAGATCCAAGGCCAGCATCTGCTCGGAAGTCACAGTCGGCCCGCCATGGATGAACAAGCTCCTTGAAAAGGGCTGCCCAGATGAAACCAGCACCGCGAACCTCCCTCAAGAGTTTTGGAAGGCGTATGGTTGGTGGTACATTTCCGAGGGGCCCAACAACAGCGGCTTTTCGTGCCTTGGCCATGGCCGTGTGATATTTATGTCGGCAGAGTGCGGTCGGGAGCATATGTCTAAGTAATATTTCCTTCCTCATCTAGTACATCGGTGTCTGTGAGGATCACCCATATCTCCGGGAAGACGAAGCGGGTTCCTCAAGAGATGCAGATCTTCCAACTGGAATTGAAAAATCCCGGCGACCTGGAAAACTGCCAAGTCGGGGAAGGCCTTTGAGTTCTATTTATACATTAAATCAGAAGCTCTTGCAAATGAATGGACGGACCCAGGCCTCCAAACCAAAAAAAGCCCAATAGGACCAAGGCCTCTCGTGTGAAAGTCCGAAAGAAAGTGTATCTATCCAGGTTCCAGACTGCTATTTCGTTTTGAGGTTTCCGGCAAGGATTCTTGTATCCTGCTGTCCCGTGAACAGGAAAGGATAAGTCGGATAAGAGATGTGCCACAGAAGTTCAACCAGCTCCTGTATGTGTTTGCTTGACGGGCTCGACGGAGACGGGTTCAATATGGGCTTCGAGACGTTAGGGCCACGAAATGGGACGGTTCATGAACGGAGCCAGGGAGATGTTTTCAGAGAAATCGTTCTTTGAACCAAAATTTGACTCGGAGGTCGCATCTGGGTCAACGTGCTGAGTCTCTTCCTGGAGGCAGAGCAGGATACGCTGGACATGCCCAAGCTTCGAAAAGAGATGCCGCGGGCGTGAATCCGAAGCCAGCAGCAGCAGATCTTGGCCTGTCTTGTTAAGCTGTCCGTGACCGGCCTAACGCTTGAAATTTTGATTGGCCTTTGTCCATAATGGCGCCATCGGTTGCAGTCGGCACAGAGATGCTGAAGTCGTCCACAGCCATGCCGCGATAGACTCGGCTGATGTACATGCTGAGGCTAAAGTCGTGAAAAAAGAATGCAGACAGGGTCATGGTCGTGGGTTAGGCTGAAGTATATGATATGCTGAGGGTCGAGTCCAGTCGCCAGCGTGATCGGGTTTCGGCATGTTCGAAGTCAGCAGTAGGAGTATTTCACCGAGAGTGACTTTGCTGGCAGGCCGCACTAGATAAAGGCCTTCTAAGACACTAGTAACATCCCGGCCCAGCTGCGCCAGCCAGGTGACTCTTTTGAGCTGGTCTCCTTCAACTACGACTTTGTTGACGTTCGGAAGGAGAAGGCCCAGCAATCCAAGAGCCCGGTTATTTGAAGATGGGGATCGTGGAGAGAACATTCACATGATTTCTACGGTACAATACCACACACATGTACCACCCTTGCCGTTCATGGCACTGGTCCTGCGCCAGGTCCATCCACTGATTGGCGACTCGGCGTCGGCGCGCTTGGCAAGGCAAGTTTGCCATGTGCCCTTTGAGTTGATTGATTTCAAATCTGGTGTGCAGCAGGCCTCCTTAGTCACATCTTAACACACAGTGCTTCGAAGCAAATATAATATCGATCGCTACTTAAGCTGATCTGAGTGCATCTGACATGCATCTACTGTTGCTTGGTTCCTGCTGCTCTGGGCTGAAGCGAAAACCTTGGTGCAGGAAGGAATTTAAGTAGAACACACGACTTCCGGGCGCAGATCTGTGCAGAGCAGTGTGCCAATGACTGCATAGCTTGCTTGATTGTCCTGATGAGGATGAATCTATATAATCTGTGAACATTAGGCCTAGCGAATCGCTTATCGATCGACGAAAGCTCGATGATTGGATCTTCAGTAGGAATTCAAACTGTGAAAACATGAAATAGCTGCTATCCTCTAGGTCTGAGAAATATCCAGCCAAAACATTCCTGCGTGGTTGCATCCTGTTTCCTTAACCCTCGTGCCGCCATAGCTGCTGGAGATTGCTGGGTATCGACTGCTGGTTGGCTAGTCAGCGAAAAAGCAACTGCCAGTGGATCTGTGATCAAGTGTGCTTCCAAGTCGCTCAAGTCGTGGAAGCTGAAAGGTTCTTGGTTTTCCACAAGTCGCAAGTCGTCCTGACTCAGAGCGAGACTGGCAGCACGATCAAGTCGCGAAGGTCTCTCAGTGATCCCGCTGTTCTTGCGCACCGCGCACGTCAAGGCTTGAAAGAGTCGGGCAAGAAGAGCAACAAGTCGTGAAAAAAGGGCGAGGCCAAGTCGAACCCGCGGGCCAGAACATCCTGACAAGTCGAAGTGGCCATTTTCGCTGAAGTCGCACGTCCTGCAAAGCTTTTGCTGGGACGTGGGTGCAATGGCATCTAATGCGAGAGGCATTAGATGCCAAGACACCGTGCAGGAAGCGGCTCAGGCTCATAGCCTTCCGCCTACTGGGCCCCTGCTCCACGCGAGCTCCGGTGTCAAGCCCATCAGTGACCTGGTGTACAGCTTGCCGCTGCCGAATGGTTACCCGGGCCAGCAACACTACCTGGACCTTCACGCTTTCTGTTTGTCCATCGTGCACACGTTCGAGAATGTCACTTTGGACTGGGAAATACAGGTCCAGCCGGATACCTTCCCGCCGAAGTTCTCCTTATATGTTGCGTTGACCTTCACGTGTGCCACTCTTCCCATCGCTGTGAGTCCACATTTGACGATCGGCCAGTGGAGTGTTAATGGACGTGTCTGGAAGTCGTGGTTGGATAGGTTGCTGAACGAGTACAGCTTTTTTTCGGAGTACTACGACGTACAGCTCAGTGCCTACGGTGCTACGAACTTCAGAGTGTTTCAACGAAGGCTGCGAGAGCACATATGCTCTCTGCAGGAGCGATTGGACAACTCTAGTCGCCTGGTTCCCATGCCGCGTTGCGACACAATTCATGTGACGTGGAATACGCTCGTCTGGGAGGATGACAAGTCGGCCAACAAGGATGACGACGCGGCGGTGCCAGTCGCTCATAGCGACGACACAGCCTTGGTTTCTTCGTGCAGCTGCCAGTGACAGGCACAGTCGCAGCCACAGCAGCAGCAGCAACAACACAGCTACATGAACAACACAGCCACATCAACAACACAGCAACAACATACACAGCCTGAACAGCTTCACGAGGAACTGGCTGGCGCACCTAGTCGTAGTCGTAGAGGCTTCCCCCGCTCCGGATCGGACGACGGAGGGGTGAGGTTTCCAGAGAAGGCAGCGGAGCACAGCATCAGCTGTGTCACATAGTGTCACATCCGAGGGGTGAGTTTCTTCGTGGGGCGACGGGGTGTGCCTCAGGGGTCCTTAGCTATGGGGTGGCAGTACTACGTATCCTAGGCATAGGCCGGGCTATAGTTACACTAGACGGGTGAGAGGCACACTCTGTCCATGCCGTCGCGGTTCGTTTGCTGGAAACATCGGCTGTGCGTGGTTTGGTTGCCCCTCCCTGGTTCGTAGCTTCCCCTCCTTCATTGATAGGCTTTCAGGGGGTCCAGGGTACCCGAACCCCATTCGGCCCCAGTGTAGGAGTGCCTGTCAAGCTCCCCGCATGAAGCCTCCCCAGTTTGGTTTCCGTGGGCAAACCCGAAACCTGGAACCCCAAAGCCGAAACCCTGAACCCTACAACCCCAAACACAAAACCCCGGAACCCCGACCCCACCCGATACCTCGGACCCTGAAGCCCGCAACACACACCCGA